AATGTCAATATTTCGTGCACTTCTTAATTAAGCAAGTTTTGATGAGAATTGATCAGATTTGAACCAAATTGCACATGAAAAGATTTGAAAAAGATTTTCCAAAATCAAATATGTGAAACCATGAATGCTTGAGATTTTGTGTAGTTTTGTTAACCTAAATCACTCTATACATATCCCAGATCAGAACCCTAATGCTCTTAGACTGAAAGCTGCGCCCCAAACTCCATTGGATTCTTGAATTTTTTCATAAAAAACACCAATACTGAAATCAAGGTTTTAGGGTGATTCAAGCTCCAATTTTTATTCCAATAGCATCCTGAGGCATTCTTGAACCTTTCTCAATCATTAACATCAACTAAAGCACAAAGAATCGTTGGTTAGAACTCAAACTGTAAAGTGAATTTTCTGAAATCGCATAGCACGAATCATACATCTTTTGCATATTTTGTTTATGAATTCTTGTTTCTCATGATGTTCTAAAGCTAACCATACTAATTGATTTCATTTTTGAGCAACACACGCGATATTGCCATGAACACCTTCTAGGGTTTCTTGAGCTCTCAATTGGGGATTTTCTTGTCCTGTAAAATTGAAGCACGAAACTTAGACCATTCAAACCAGCTCCTCAAGACGAAGCAATTTGAACCCTCGCGATAAATTTATGGTCCATAGGGAGCTATTCGCTATTTTTTCAAAAGGCCTCTAACACCACGGTCGCAAAACCGTTGCCCATTAGTTTTGTTTTACAGGGAAGGGGAAGAAGACGAGGCCGTGTCACGTGGTGGTTGGTGCGTTTAAAAACGCGCGCGCTTTTCCAGGCCATCAACGCGTTTGCTTTTTGTTATTTATTCGTTAATATATATTAAATGTAAATCACATGGTTCAGTGGTAGGTGGAAGTGCTTGCAATACTCATGACCTGGGTTCGAACCCCAGGTCTGAATAATTCCATATTATTTTTCTACATTAAATCCCATGCAGATTCCTCATTAGAGCACACCATGCACACTCAAAATCCAACGAACACGCGTCCAGCTGCTTACAAATCAAGGGTCTAGGATGGATGAACACATAAACCCTGGTCAAACGCGTTGCATGGGATTCAAAAAGTCAACCAACGTCCAGCTTATTGGGCCAGGCTTTTCACATCAACACCTCCTTATTTGGGGCAACACCCCACCCTGGTTTGCATTTTATTTTTTTTCTCACTTTTATTTTTATTGTTTTATTTATTTTATTATCTTAATTCAATTAATTAATTTTTTCTATAAAATATAAAAACATTATAAAAATCAGAAAATACAGAAAAATATAATATTCATTTTTTTTATTTTATTATTGCCATGAATAAATTAGAATGTAAATTGTTTAGTTTAATTAGGTTTTAATTTTAATTCCTTTTTTAATAAAAATCCAAAAAATAGAATTTAGGTTAATTACTTCTTATTTTCTTTTATTAATTTTAATTTTCTTTTAGAATACCATTATTATTTATTTATTATTTTATTTTCATAGATTAAAAATTGTATATAAATTAATTTAGAGTTTAATTTAGGTCATATTTTAATTCTTTCATAATAAATAAAAAATACTAGAATTAGGGTTTGTCTTTTAATTTAATTTCAATTAATTTCTTTTCCTTATTGAATCTAAAAAACACAAAATACAAAGAAAAAAACATTTAATCATTTTTAATTTTAATTTCCTTATTAATTTTAATTGTTTGCAAAAGGGTCCAACGCCCTAGTTTTGTTCTAATTTCTTTATTTCGCGCATTTATTTTATTATCGCTTATTATAATTTTGTAAATATCCCAAAGCCATGTAATTTAAATTTCTCGCACTTTTATTTATTCGCTTTATTTATTTCCCGCTAAATCGGGTCCGGTTTAATTTTGGCGATGTGGACCCGCGCCATTTGTAATAGTTTAGATTTATTTTCCCCGCGAATATTAACTGTTAAAAGCATGCAAGAATGAATGGCCCTAATTAAAATAAAACGTTAGATCACCAATAACCTGACAAGACAAATAACTGAAACATGACACACCATTCGCACATACCACCCCTAGGGTACGCCTCACTGTTGCCTTTCGAAAGGTGATCGTCGAGTAGAGGACGTCTTAGTAAGTCCTCATGATCCGGGAACCTGGCATGAGGGTAGCTTCTAAGGTGTCTTCCCATTGCTCCGGTGATCACCACGTCCCTAAAATCGAATTGACCCGAACACCTCCAACGGTGGTGCTACCTACCTCTCAATGGTGGGATGGCACTACTTTAAAGGACATCTACACAGACGAATTCCTTAGGGTAGGTAGGTTCTTAAGGATACTTGCTCTAATCTCAAAACAAACTCAAAAAAGACTTTTCACACTGACACTTTTCAAAAGCTTTCAAAGCAAACTTTTCAAACACTCTGACGTACGAGTCGATCTGAAATTTTTCAAAAGAAACTTTTAAACCCACATTGAAAAGCAAAACAATTTTGAAAACACAAATGAGCAAGTATCTAAGAGCCCATGGATAACCATGGATAGAAAGGGTGCTAATACCTTCCCTTTCTATAACCTACCTCCCGAACCGAGAGCAATCTCTTAAAAAAGGAATTTTTCTGTGCTTTTGTCCTTTCCAATTGGAGAAAATAAAAGACGGTGGCGACTCTTGCTTCCGCGACATTTCGCGAACCAGCGTTAAACAGTCAGTTCCAGATCCACCGATCACAGATATTATCTACCTGCGATACTTCGAGGACTTTGAGTGGATCCATAACTACAACTGGGGGCCGCTTGTTTGACCTACTTATACTCTAAGTTATCTAAAGGTTACCTGTGGAAGTTGAGGCATGTGACCGGCAATATCATACTTTTGACGGTAACATTTATTGGGTTGTGTGTTTTTTTAATCATTACCTTGGTAAAACTCTGTTACTATTAATGATTTGTGTGTTCCAACACTTTTTAGGCTTAGGTCCTCCAACACTTCTCACGTATCTTCGGTTGGTCATGTCTACTAACTTATACTGAGTATTTGTCACGTGCTTCTGCATTCTCCCCACTTAGGAGGAACAAGGCGTCAGAGCCATTCAGAGTGTATATTTACCACTTGGTAGCAGAGGATATACACTTCCATTATTACGTTGATCACCGTAAGACGATTCCCTTGGATGACATAGTCTTATACTCGGGGTGGTTGGCTTGTGGGTCGTGTTTGACGTCTCCTTATTTGTTTAAGCTTGTCATGTGTTAGTTCGGGTACATGTAGTACATTCCAAAAGATCCTTCTGTGTCTGCTCCTCCCACTGAAATATAGATATATAGATGTTATGTGTGATGATTATGTTAATCATATGGTATCAAATGAGGCACGGAGTACCATAGCTGAGAGCGACTAGAGCTACGTAAACGATTACATCTCGTGGTTTCTTTCGGGTGTCACATTCTTATATGGTACATGATGATCCAATAGATCCAACTAGGCCAGCTCATCAGGAGATACTAGAGGAGGAGCAGACTAGGGTAGATCATGTTGTTGATGTGTTGCCTAGATGTCATCCTATCTATGAGATTTGACAGGAAGGTATTGACAGATGACTCTTTCTGGATAGCTCTGAAGCGAGGGGCATTGTAGATGCCATAATGGAGAAGGCTCAGGAGGCTCTGCAGTATAGGAGGCAGTGTAAGAACAAGAGGGCACGCGGTTGTGGCCGACTCTGAGTCTGTCATACGCAGTAAATTATATTACTTGTACTCTTGATATATTTTGGATTGCATTTTATTTATCGATTCCTTTATAACTTTTGGATTAGATTTATGTACTCTTAACTTATAACTTTATATATATATAATTTTCTTCATGGTTTTAGTATTGTCGAATCATAGTATACCTTCTAACTATTTAATCTGAGAATCACTTAAAATTAATCAGAATTTACTCCAGGTACATATGGTGACTTTGTATCTCCGAAACTATTTACCTTTTAAAATTAATCATAATTCAGCAACACTTAATACAAATATACATTTATGAATTATGAATGTAGATGTATCTCCGAAGCTATCTAATGCTTATAAAATAAAGAAGCTTCTGGAGATTCATCTCCAAACAAACTAATGTTTAAAAAAATTTGCATCCAGAGATGCATTTTCCAAAAATTGAGGCCATTTTGGGAATTACATAGGATCATTTTTAGGTACATACGGTGGCTTAAGAAATTCCCTATTTTTTAAGGATTTTTTTAGCACAATACTAAAAAACCAGTATCTATTATGACTAGCCTGTATAGGCCGTTGATAGCCCTTAAACCCGCATAACTATAAATTCTAATAAATTATACTAATATTTATATTGTATCACTTCAAAACAATACACTAATTTTTCTCAACTCATTAAATTTCATTTCTTTTAAATATTATACATTAATATAATCAAATTAATATTTAATTATTTTGTGTTTTATTTGATAATTTTCTCATATTCTATTAGTTTCTCTTATGTTAAATATTTGAGTATTATTTTATATAATTTTGAGACAAAATATATTTTTTGGTCCTTTAACTTTATCTTTGGATTTATTTTAGTCCCTCAATTTTAAAAGAGGCCAATATAATCTCTTATGTCTTCAAACAACTTTATATAAGTCTTTTTCATCTAATTTTCACAAACGACATCAATTTTTGCATGTGTGTCATCCGATATGACATATGTTCAGACGTGTCACATCTGATATGGCATATGTCCATCATCAAGGTCATCAAAAATCCAAACAAAATTCCAATTTTTTTGCCTCAACCTAGAATCAAATCAAGTACACTTTACTTGCATGACAATATGTAGTATCACCTGGCCACTCCACCACTCTTCCCTCATATCTCATTACAACTCTTTCATTTATTCATTCTTTCATAATCATTTTTTTATGGCACTTTCATAATCATTTTTACTTTCCACTCTATCAATATTGTAGCGAGCTCTACCAAAACACAACAAGAGAACATTAATTAAGATGGAAGCAGTAACATCAGCCATTACAAAAAACAACAACGGTTATGATTCATTCTGCTTGACTAATGCTAAAAATAATAATATGAAAGTGAATAGCATCGATCCTTTGATTTGGGGTGTGGTCGTCGAGGTAATGAAATGGAGCCACTTGGATGAAGTGAAACATATGGTGGAGGAGTACCGAAAGCCAGTGGTTCGTCTTGGTGGCGAGACGCTCACAATTTCTCAGGTGGCTGACATTGCCTCAAATAACCATGGTGTGAAAATTGAGTTGTCAGAATCTGTAGAAGAACTCATCAGGTTTTTAAATGTCGGAATATTTGAAAGTGGAACCGAGTCAAACCACACATTACCACACACAACAACAAGAGTCGCCATGTTAGTGAGAATCAACACACTTCTCCAAGGCTATTCTAGAATTATATTTGAAATCCTGGAAGCCATAACCAAGCTCATTAACAAGAACATCACCCCATGTTTACCACTTCGAGGTACTATCACAGCTTCAGGAGATTTAGTCTCTCTTACTTATATTACTGGTTTACTAACAGAAAGACCAAATTCCAAAGCTCATGGACCTTCTGGAGATATACTTAATGTCGAAAAGGCTTTTCAATTGACTGGTATCAATGATAATTTCTTTGAATTACAACCTAAGGAAGGACTTGCACTTATTCATATACAATTAAATATATTTGGCCATTTGAACCATGTGTTAGAACTAATAACAGCCATGGATGAACCAGAGAAAAGTAGAAAGAATAAGAGAAAGAAGAGAAGAAATTATGAGAACTTGAAGCTACAAAAGCTTAATGATCATTACATCATAGTTGTGTTTATATAGTTAGTTGGAATAAAGCTAATGAATCTCCAACTAATTCTAACAAACTAATATCTAAAAAGGGAAAATTCCTAACTGACTTTACAACAACAATTACTAAAGATAGTAAAGCAGTTACAAAGAGAAGCCAACTTAGGAGGACTCTAATCATGCCTTGATACTGTATAGTAAATTCAACAGTCCCCCTCAAGCTTAAGCATGATAAATATTTATCATGCCAAGCTTGGAAATGAAGTTATTGAATTTGTTTGGATTTAAAGGCTTTGTGATAACATCTGCCAATTGTTCTTGAGAAGATATGGGCAGCAGCTTCATAACACCTTGCTGAACTTTCACTCTCACAAGGTGACAATCAATCTCAAGATGCTTTATCTTTTCGTGAAAAACAGGATTAGAAGCTATATGCAAGACACTTTGATTATCACAATATAGGACACGTGGTTTGCAGCATATAATGTTCAAGTCTTGCAGTATATACAAGAGCCAAATCAGTTCACATGTTGTTGATCCTAATGACATATACTCAGCCTCAGAGGAGGACCTATAGATAATTGTTTTCTCTTTGCCTTCCATGACACAAGAGAAGACCCAATAAAGAAACAATAGCATGTTATGGATTTTCTAGAATCAACACATCCTTTCCAGTCAGCATCAGAGTAGCCCAGAATCTACAAATTGAAGGATCTTGGGAACATCATGCCTTTACCAGGATGTTGTTTCAGATATCTAATTACTCTACAGGATGTGTTGTAGTGCATTTGTGTAGGATTCTGTATAAACTGGCTCAATTGTTGTGTTGCAAGTGTGATGTCAGGCCTTGTATTATTTAGATACAACAATCTACCAATAAGTCTTCTATATGTTGTGATGTCCTCAAAAGGTTCACTTGAATCCTAGTACAACTTTCTTGAAAGATTCAGAGGAGTGGTAGCTGGTTTGGATGCGAGTAATCATGTGTCATGTAATAAATCCAAACAATACTTCATTTGTGAGATGACAATTCCTTCTCTTGAATGTGCCACCTCAAGGCCAGGGAAATATTTTAAGATTCCTAGGTACTTGATCTTAAATTTGCTATGCAAAATAGCTTTGATCCTGTCAAACTCAGTTAAGGAAGTGCCATCCAAAATCACATCATCTACATAGACAAATAGGAGTGTGATTTGATCTTCCTTAGAGAGAGTGAACATAGAATAATCAGAACTAGATTGGTGATAGCCAAATTGTAAAAGAAGAGAAGTGACTTTTTCATACCACTTTCTACTAGCTTGCTTCAAACCATAAAGGCTTTTAGCAAGCTTGCAAACCTGATTTTTCTTAGTGCATTGGATTCTTTGAGGGACACTCATGTAGACATCTTCCTCTAAATCTCCATGTAAGAATGCATTATTTACATCGAGTTGATGTAGATACCAATTCTTAATAGAAGTCACTGCAAGTAAAACTCTAACAGCAGAAAGTTTCACAACTGGAGAAAAAGTATCAAAAAAATCCAAACCTTTAACTTGGTTGTAACCCTTGGCAACCAATATTTCCTTATACCTCCCTATGGATCCATCCGCTTTGTGCTTAATTTTGTAAACCCATCTGCTACCAAAAGGTTTAACATTAGATGGAAAATCGACCAATTTCCAAGTTCCATTGAGAGCAAGTGCTTTTAGTTCTTACTGCATAGCCTTGAGGCAACTTTCATTCTTGCAAGATTCTTCATAAGACTTAGGAACTAAAAGCTCTATGAGAAGAAGATAGAGAATTGAAAGAATGGAAATAGGAAATGGGATAAGCAATACCTGAAGAAGATGATTGAGTTGAAGAGTGTGAAGAATTTCACACATAGTCCTTAAGGTGAGTTGGAGTGTGTTTATTCCAAACAGGTATATGATTTTGGTGGTGATACGTATTAGGAGGTGAGGTGTCATGTGCTGAAAAGGGGGGTTGTGAGCTAGTAGGTTCAGATGGTGATGGTTTATAAGTTGAAATAGGATCTGCCGCAGGTTGCAAAATATCAGGATCAAAATTTGGAATTTGGGTGGACTGAGTTGGTTTAGGGTGGTTGATAATGAGAGAAGGTGAATGATGAGTTGAGGTATTATGATATTTCTAATTAGGTTGATAAGGAAAAATGTGTTCATGATGAACCACATTTCTGGACAGAAAAATTTCATTATTGTTTGTGTCAAGAGGTATAGCACCTCTGACACCTTGCTTGAATCCTAAGAAAATACATTTTCTACCTCTGCGATCAAGTTTTGTCCTATGAGAATGAATGATTGAGGCATATGCTAAAGATCCAAAAACTTTTAAAACATGAAAATCAGGCAGTTCATAGAAAAGGAGGTAGTAGGGTGACTTATTGTTCAAAACTGGACTGTTAATTCTGTTCATAATGTAGAAAACATGACTTACAACAAATGACCAAAAAGATTTAGGAGAATTGGACTGAAATAGAAGAGCTCTTGAGATGTTCAAAATGTGATGATGTTTTATTTCCACCCTCCCGTTTTGTTGGGGTACTCAACACAGCTAGTTTGGTGCAAGATGCCTTTAGAAGCATAAAAGTTTGGCATTATAAACTCAGGTCTATTGTCATTTCTTATGACCTTAATTTGAGATTTATGTTGAACTTCAACCATTTTAATAAAATTGACAACATTTTGTCTAGTTTTAGCTTTTGATTTCATCAATATAATCCAGGTATACTTACTAAAATCATCAACAGCTGTAAGAAAATATGAATGGCCATAGTAAGATTTTATAGCTAAAGGTCCCCAAACATTAAAATGCACAATATCAAAAGAAGTTTTGGATTTATTAAAACTTGAATGATAAGGAAGCTTTTTGTGTTTGGCAAAATGGCACACATCACAAACAACTCCTTTATCAATAACAACAAAAGTAAAAGTTTGGTTCAAGGAATGCATTCTAGTATGGGACAGGTGACCTAATCTGAAGTGCCATAAAGCACTCTTTGGTAGAGAACAAGATGAGGTATTGTTGATGCTAGAAATGGCTTCATCCTTATTTTTAAGAACTACGTGGTATAATCCTTCATGCTTTTCAGCTAAACCAATCATCTTCATCGATTGCTGGTCCTGAATAAAACATTTAGTGTTATCAAAACTCACTTTATAATTGGAATTTCGGCACAATTTGGATACAGAAATCAAATTGATAGAAAATTTTGGAATGTAAAGGACATTGGTAATAAAAAATGTGGGAGAAAACATGATTATACAAACATATTTGGCTGAAGCAAATTATCCATTGGGAAATTTAACACTAATATGAGTGATTGCATTGTAAAAATGAAACCAATAGTACGAAGAACAAATGTGATCACTAACACCCGAATCTATGATCCATGAATTGAAAGTGCAACATTTATGAACAAAAGAGTGAGGATTACCATTGTTTCTCAAATTAGATTGACCTGTGAATGGTGAGTGTTGTACCCAAAAATTTTCCCTCTCATTTATCAAGAACTTGCTCACAAGATCTCCTTTGGCTCAAGACTGCACTAGGGTTGATCAACTCAAGACACCTCCTTAAGCATTGATGACCAAAATTAGGGTTTGAGATTGCACAAGGATATTTGAACTTCCAATGCCCCATATGACTTTCATGGATCATTATAGACCCTCAAGATTACTCATGTCAAGTTTCAAGCCTTGGATCACACTTTTGCTCAGTCAATTGAACAGTTGACCTAAAAAACAATTGTATTGAGAAAAAGTCAACTATGACCAATTTACAGTCAAACTTCATAATTTTTGTTCCAAATCAACATTTTAAACTCATATGTATCATTTTATCAAGTTTGGACCACAATTCCTCAAGAAATTTGATCAAATCTTCAAAAGGGCAAAATGGTCAAAATTAGGGTTTTGATTGGGAAAGGGAAATTTCTGATTTTTGACCTAGAAATGATCAATTGGTTTAAATAATGATCTCAAGAGTTCAATTGCATCATTTTGACCTATGACATAGCTCAAAGCATTGCTCAAGTCCAATGGATTGACAGATGAATTTTCAACCAACTAATCAAAAGTCAACTGTATACTGAAAAGTCAAAATTTTACTTTTTGGTCAAAATTAAATGTCAAAGATCACAATTCATTAAAACACGTCAAAATATGAAACTTATTCATCAAGAAATCAAAAATTTAAGATTTCATTTTGAAAAGTTAAAATTTCCAAACTTAGAAATTTTTCTAAGTGTTAGAAATTTCTTATTTTTTCACAACTTTGAGCAAAATTTTCACCATGATGCAAGAGGATTCAAAAGAAACTTCTAACATGAAAGTTGTAGATCTCCATGAAATGTACAACATTTCATTACACAACTCCTTCCAAAAGTGCTTAGATCTCAAGTTATAATTTTAAGAATACATGGTCATGAAACAAAACACAGTGAAATTTTGCCCTAATTTGGTCAGGATTTTGACCCAACTTCATGGCACTTTTTCATATAGTTACAAGGGGAATCTTCAAAAGTAATTCAAATATGGTTTGTATATCACATTGCAAGCTTTCCAAAATGTCCAAGAACTCCTTGAGATCATTTTTGAGTAGGGAGAATCGAAGAGATGAAGTTAGGGTTTTATCACTTGAATTACAAGTCATTTTGTGATGAACAAATTCAAAATTCAAAGTTGTGCTGCATAACCTCTACTTTTCAGGCCTCAAACTTGTTAGGAACTCCATAATTAATTGCTTGCACAACTGTTAGAGGTTTCATTTTAAGCATTCAATGCAAGGCCATGCTTTATATCCATTTTGGGAAGAAAGTGCACATTGCCATTTTGATAAAGTGACTTTTTGCACAAAGCTTGTTTTTGAGCCTTGCACTTGTTCTCTTCTGATAATACATGTCTAATAATACAAGAGAAATATTTTAGACACTTACAATCACCCAGCCCATGCTTGTACCTCCTCTTGAAACTTGTTTCCCACTTTTCTTCAAAATCAAGTAACCTAGCAATTAGCTTGAAACTTGTACTTCTAACTTGCCAAACCACTCAAGACTCTTTGCTTATAGATACACAAATCATTTGCCACAAAACACACGCATGCTTGACCCCTAAAAAATCCCAAGAGCTCATAAATTTTTCACATGCCTCCATTGTTGCCCAACCTGACCAAAAGTTTGAAACTCACATCTCCCTCGTGCGTTTTCAAGCTTGGTTCCTAAAGTTTCTAAACATCATTTAGAACTCATCTCACACCCTGTTACAGAACTGTAACACCATTAACACCATCCTCCATTTTCAAAAACAGAGTTTTTCACTTGGACTTCTCCAGAACTCCTCAGGTACTTTCAGCTCAAGCTAAGCATCCCATTAGCTTCCTGGGAACTTGAGGAAGCTAACCCAATTATTGGAACTCACTGAAAGCTGCTCAAACTCCAAACCTGATACCCTCTTGCAAGGTAAGTTTTCTAATTTTGGAACTTTTCATACAGGCATTATCAATGATTTATTTGTGAATAAAACATGTAGATATCATTGCCCTAAAGCTAACCATGTTCATAGTTTCCATTAATTTTGCTTGAGCTTAGAGAATTTTAAGATTGAAATTTCTGAGATTTTTAGGGTTCAGATTAGGGCCAT